GTGCACTCAGAGGGGGCGTGCTCCTCCAGCCCCACCCCTTCGCCCCTGGACTCGGACGTGGAGTCAGCCGAGACGTCTGGGGCTAAGCCAGGTGGACGAAAGTCCGAGGGGTTGGGATACACTCGGTGAGGGGGCGAGCCACTGCCGGTTGGCCCCTGGTCACCAAGCTGGCCGCCCCTGCCCGCTCAGAAGGGCTGTCCTCCCAGGTAGAAGAGGGCACCGAGGGAGAGAGCGAGACTGGCTGGGGGTTGTACCTACAGGCCCGTGACCCGACCAGGCGGCACGGCAGAGAATCAAGTGATCCGGACAGCGAGTCGAGTGAAGATCGTGCACGAGACTGCCTGAGGTGGGGGCAACCCCGGGCGGGCCCTCGCCACGCCGGCAAGGCCTTGGGTGGTGCCACCCCAAGTTCACCCACCCTGCTCACGTAGACCTTGCGTCGCATGATAGCAGCGTGCTAACCGCTGCATTACCACCCCCATCACTACCGTTAACCTGACCGAGTTTAAATTTCGATTTAAAGCTTTCGTGACTGCAGGGATTCATCTTTGTGGTTCTTTCGGTAGTCACGTAGAAGGGAGATAATAAAATAATACAATTCTCATGACGTTTCGGCCACAACGCAAGTAGCTGTCCTCAGGTGAAGAACTTTAATGGCAAGCTACCCTTTTTGGATGTCCTAATTAAAAGGAGACCTGATGGTTCAATGAGCCACTCTGTCTACAGGAAAGCTACCCATACGGATGCTTACCTAAAACCGGATTCCCACCACCATCCATCCCAGAATTCCCTCATCAAGACTCTACACCATAGAGCCCAATGCATCTCCGACCAGGAACACATTGCCAGTGAACTCAAACACGTACGCCAAGCTCTTAAGGCTAATGGTTACTCAGACTACACAATCCGCAAGGCCATCACTCCAACCATCAAGAAGGATCCGGTTGAGGAGCCATTCAAAACTATCACCTTACCCTACATTGCAGGGGTCACAAAAAAGATCTCCAAAATCCTGAATAAACACAAGATCCAGGTCCGATTCAGCACAGTACATAAAATCCATGATCTGATCCCGTCTGTAAAAGATGTGGTTCCAGACATACAGTACACCCTGGCGTCTACAAACTAAGTTGCCTCTGTGGTAGCAGTTACATTGGAGTAACCAAACGACATGTCTCGGACCGCATCTGTGAACATAAAGCAGACCTAAAACACGGTAGGACAAACACCTCAGCCGTGGCAGATCACTATTACAATTCAGTGGGCTCACATGACATGGACTTCGCCAAGACAGAGGTTCTCTGCAAGCCATCTGGCTACCATGAGAGATTTGTTCATGAGGCGATCCACATATACAAACACAGACACCTTCAACCGAGAAGATGGATTCTGGCTCAGCAATCATTGGAAGGACGTTATAAACCATTTCGGATCTTAACTGATTGTGTTTACGTTTACGGTGACTTTCAGACCACAGTCCACTCACTGGCATTGACTATATATCTTTCGTATTCTCCGCAGGGAATGGAGTCTTTGCTCCGCTGCAAGTCTCCTCTCACCACTCTCCCATTGACATATTTCGTTGCTTCCTCTTAGTACCTTTCACGCGACGGTCAATGGTATAGTGTATAGCAGATTGTATAATAATAAATAGTATAAAAGTGTAATGTTTCATATAATGTATAAGGTAATATAGTATCGTAATTGTATAGTGAATATACAGCAGTGTGGTATACAGTAGGGTGGGTAGAATAATACATCGTGTAATATTACAATGTATAGTCTAAGGTATAGGGTGGTGTATAGTAATAATCCTTTCTTTCTTATATATAAAAGTCTCCACGTGCTCGCACTTGCGGGGGATTTGGCTCTCGGACGGTGGGCTTTAGGTAGAATTTTTTTTTGACAGGCAGCACACCCTAAGCCCCGCAGTGGGAATAGGCTATTCCGTTTTCCCATCCGTAAACTTTAAAGTAGTTTAATTAACGCATTTGTGCCATTTCTATTATTCATTATTTACTTATTGCGAGACATCGACCGTACCAACTCACGACAATTGCGTGGGGGGGGGGGGCGGACCCTGCCAAGTCATGCGCGTTCGCTCCAGCTCACGGGAGACATTTTATTTTACGCGTTTAACATGAAATAAATATACACATCACGCTGCCAATTTCTCTTCACAGTGTGATGTCTTCCCCCCCCACCACAATATGTGCAGTTACTGCTATAAAGCCCTCACATATTAATTTAATATTATGACAACGCTTACATCGTATTATTCTGCCTCGGGCGGGGGGATGGTGGGGGGGGCGAGGGTAGCGGCCCAGCTCGCAGCCTGGCAACGTCTCACCTCCTCCGGCTTGCCAATCTAGGCGAGGCCGCAGGCTCTGCATGGGACGATGCGTCACCACGCCAATGTAAAGTACAATTTTATTGCATGTTTCGCTAAGAACTGAGGTTTATTGTTTACTATTGTTAAACAAATAACTTTACAAATATCACGATGATGTTTGTGTGCAGAAACTACATGTGTGTCCCTAAAGTCGATGTCTGTGTGTGTGAGTCCATATGTATTTGTGTGCGTGTAAGTCGATGGGTTTCAATGTGTGTGGCTCCATGTCTGTGTGTGAGTCCATGTGTGTCTGTCTTTTTCAAACGGACAACGCCCCATGTGTGTGTGTGTATGTACAAGTGTTTGTGTGTGTCAGTCCATTTGTGTGCATATCAGTCGCTGTGTGTGTGTGTTAGTCCACATGTGTGTGTAAGTCCATACGTGTGTGTTTCACTCGATGTGTGTCTAAGTGAATGCGTGTGTGTGCGAGTCGATGTGTTTATGGCTCCATCTGAGTGTGTTAGTCAATGTGCGTTTGTGTGTCTATGTGTGTCAGTCGATGTGTGTGTTAATCTACATGTGTGTATCTAAAGTAGATGTCTGTGTCACAGTACATATGTCTATGTGTGTGTAGGGCAATGTGTGTGTCAGTCTATGTATGTGTGTGCAAGTCCATGTGTGTGTCTTAGTCGATATGTGTCTGTGTAAGTACATGTGTGTTTACGTCAATGTGTGAGTCCACGTATGTCTGTGCGAGTCGATGTGTGTGTGTGTCTTTGTATGTGTGTCAGTATGTCTGTGTGTCAGTCCATGGGCGTCTGTGTTAGTCGCTTTGTGTGCATGGCTCCATGTCAGTCAGTGTAAGTCCATTTCTTTGCGTGTCTGTAGGTCCGTGTGTGTGTGAGTGAATGTATGTGCTTTATTGACCTGCTCAAGGCCTATGATACCATCAGTAGGCCTGGCCTCTGATACCATCAGTAGGCCTGGCCTCTGGGTTGTTTTTCATGTTTTCGGAGTCCCTCAAACTTTGCTCACGATCCTTAAGGACCTTCATGTTGGTGAGCGGCCCCGCGTCAAACTACGTGGCCGTCAGTCAGAGCCATTCCCTCTACACCTTGGGGTGTGCCAGGGATGTCCTCTGGCTCCACATTATTTAACATATCTTTTGACCACGTAGTTCGTGAAGCCTTCAATGGCTGTACCCGATCAATTACCATATGGTGCAGATACAATGGGGGCTGATCGATGCCCGGGTGCGGTCAACGGATGCCTCCCTATTGCTCAACCATGTTATGTATACCGATGCTCTGGTGATTGCTGCTCACTGCTGCTGAACCTGGAGCTTGCCACTAAGAGGTGGGACCTTACCATCAGCCCCACCAAAACTAACCACCTGCCTGGGTATTTTGTACCATCGAACAATTCACCCCCACAGCTCACAATTCGTGATGCGCCAGTTGTGGAGAGATTGCCGAGATTCCCATACCTGCCCAGTGTGCTCATGACCGGCTCCGGTTTAACAGCAGAAGTCTCACTTCAAATCAGTCGAGCGCCATTATCTTTTCATCGGCTACGTTATGCTGTGTGGAAGCTACCTGGTCTGTCGCTCCGCACGAAGCTTCAGCTCTTCTCGGCCATGGTAATTTCCTCCCTTCTATACGCTTGCAAAACGTGCATCCCCCTAATGGAACATCTTCGCCGGTTAGAAACATTTAGGCTGGCCTGCTAACGATCCATCCTGGGTTTAACCATATATGTGTGTGTGTGCGTCTAAGTCGATGTGTTTCTATGTGTGTGGGTCAATGTCTGTGTGTAAGTCCATGTGTGTCTGCCTTTTTCGCCCGAGCAACGCCGGGTACTTACCGCTAGTACAGTATATAATTTATTGTTGGATTTGTCTATGGCAGTATATAGTATGGGGTAGATCCGTGTGATTAAGGAAAAAGTTTAGCTGGAGGCATATTATATTTCTTGCGACAGAATTGTAATGTATGACTTACTGTTAGTAGCTCAGCTTATCAGAGAGTATATTTAGTATATTGATATAGTTTATATTTTAGTTTTTTACGTGGTGGTTTGGCTGCTACAGCTCCTTACTATTAAAATTCCTTCCCTTTATTACTGCTAACCCTACCTCCTCCCTTTGTTGCTGCTAATCCTACATAATGCACGGGCATAATATGACTTTGAGACCCCCCCCCCTCCTACGCATTCCACAAAGTGACTAATCCCATTCAGCATTTTCCATAAATATGCTAAATTCCTCTGTTGATATGCAAATTCCTTTGTCATGGCACTCTTCCTCCCCTAACCTAGCTTAAATATACGCTGCCAAGCTTGGTGGTGTTCATTCAGACGCTGTCTTTCCGACAGACCTGTTCTTCACCTGAGTACGGCTGCTTGCGTTGTGGCCGAAACGTCGTGAGAATTGTATTATTTTATTTTTATTATCTTATTATCTCCCTTCTACGTGACTTTACCAAAAGAACCAGGAAGATGGACTGAGTTTATAGGTAGAGGCAACCCAAGTTGGACACATATTAAAATGGAATCTTTATTGACATCAGAGTAGCAATGGACAGTTGTCCCACACTTAAACCCCACCCACCAAACTCACCCCACCCACTCGATTACCCCATCCTACCCACCCCACCCACCAAACTTACCCCACCGGACCCGATTACCCCATCCTACCCACCCCAAGCACACACCTATCTTACCCCACATGTTGACCTAGATTAATCACCATCGATGTAAGTTTATTACCGTTAGATATTTTTATGGCAAGACCACACGTGGATGCTGCTGTTGTTGTCACTGCTGCTGTTCCTGCTGCTGGTGCTGTTAGTGCTGCTCCTGGTCCCCGTTGTTCTCCTTGTTAGTGATTCTGAACGAGTCCCTGAAGCTGGCCCGGGGCTGCGACGTCAGCTTGCTCTTGGCCTCGACTTTAACCAAGCGATGTTTGAGGTCACAAACCTCCTGCACCACCACAACAGCCACCACCACCGTAACCATCGACTCAGAGACCCGTAGACTCACGCACAGAGAAACCCATATACTCGCGCAGAGTCCGATTCACACAGGAGGCACAGAAACCCTTAGAGACACAGACACAAAAAAGAGCCAAACTTTCAAAAGAGACTGAGCTGTGGTTAAACCGGCTACACCAGTGACCCTTCCGGTTACTCCTAACCCGGCTAAGTCTGCCCCGCTGCCCGGCTCATAAACTAAACTAAAAAATATATATTTTACCAAGTAAGGCCCACTGAGCTATGCAGCATTTTCAGAAACAACCTGGCCATAAATGATAGCTAAACAAAGTGACTTATCATGTGGAGATTTATAGCAGCCAAATACTCTAAACAGGTGTCGATTATAAATGTGGAGGGAAAACCAGAGGACTCGGGAGAAAAATCTAAACATGGGGAGACACGCAAACCCAAAATATGCAGCAGGCGTTAGGTCTGGGATCGAACTCATAACCTCCTGTATACCAGGCGAGGGAGTTAACATCTCGCCACCGACACCCAGCGAGGCTAACCCGGGTTGCCCGCCGCCTTGCGGGGCCGCCGAACTAACTGTAGTGTCGCCACTGCCGCCGCCGTCTCCCCCACTGCCCGTCACCTCAAAGAGCCTGGTGTTGTCCTGCTTGATCTGCATCACGTGGTGGATGCGCTGCCGTGAGTTGTTGTGGCCAAGGACACGCGCCAACTCCTGGCCCTGCTCGCGGAGCTCCGAGCGCAGGACCGCGTTGGTACTGGTGAGGAACTCTCGCTCACTCAGCAGCTCCTGCAGCTGTGCCTGGGATCAAAGATGGACAAGGGAGACAGAGAGAAAGAGACTACTGCAGCCATGCCCATGCACGTCTATGGTTCCATACGCGAGCCCACGGGTCTTGTTAACCACGAGCCCACGGGTCTTTTTAACCACGAGCCCACGGGTCTTTTTAACCACGAGCCCACGGGTCTTTTTAACCACGAGCCCACGGGTCTTTTTAACAACGAGCCCACGGGTCTTTTTAACAACGAGCCCACGGGTCTTTTTAACAACGAGCCCACGGGTCTTTTTAACCACGAGCCCACGGGTCTTTTTAACCACGAGCCCACGGGTCTTTTTAACCACGAGCCCACGGGTCTTTTTAACAACGAGCCCACGGGTCTTTTTAACAACAAGCCCACGGGTCTTTTTAACCACGAGCCCACGGTTCTTTTTAACCACGAGCCCACGGGTCTTTTTAACCACGAGCCCACGGGTCTGTACGCGAGCCCACAGGTCCCTGCACAAGTAATTGGCGACCAGCCTAAGACCACTGACTCACTACTGTTGAGAACCCGATAATACAATGTCTGTGATTGGCTGGCTCGGCCTCTCTGACCTCTTGACCTCTGACCCAATGAGCAAATAAATAAAAAAAATAAACCGAGCGTAAAGACCGTCAGCCCAAACAACAGCGAAACAACAAGGCGCCATCACCTCTGCTTTAGCCAAGGCCAGCTGGGCACTGTCCACATTGCAGAAGTTCATCAGCTCCCCCTCCAGGCATTCTGTGTGCATCTTCAATGATTTAGAATTTTCCTGGAGCCTAGTGTTCTCCTCACGGAGCTCCGCTGCCTCATCGCAGAGGTTCTTCATCTCTGCGTCCAGGGCCTCTGTGCGAGTAGTCAATGATTTCTCGTTTTCCTGGAGCCTAATGGTCTCCTCGCGGAGGTACTTCACCTCTGCCTCCAAGCTCTCAGTGCGAGTCTTCAATGATTTCTCGTTTTTCTGGAGCCGAGTGTTCTCCTCACGGAGGTTATTAACCTCTGCCTTCAGACCCTCTGTGTGAGTCTTCAATGATTTATCGTTTTTCTGGAGCCGAGTGTTATCCTCACGGAGCTCCACTGCCTCCTTGCAGAGGTTCCTTACCTCCGCCTCCAGGTCCTCTGTGCGAGTAGTCAATGATTTATCGTTTTCCTGGAGCCTAATGGTCTTCTCGCTGAGGTACTTCACCTCTGCCTCCAAGCTCTCAGTGTGAGTCTTCAATGATTTCTCGTTTTCCTTGAAATTAGTGCACTCCTCATGGAGGTTATTCACCTCTGCCTCCAGACCCTCTGTGTGAGTCTTGAATGATTTCTCGTTTTCCTGGAGCCTAATGGTCTCCTCGTGGAGGTTCTTCAACTCTGCCTCCAAGCTCTCAGTGTGAGTCTTCAATGATTTCTCGTTTTTCTGGAGCCTAGTGTTCTCCTCACGGAGCTCCACTGCCTCCTTGCAGAGGTTCTTCACCTCCGCCTCCAGGCCCTCTGTGCGAGTAGTCAATGATTTCTCGTTTTCCTTGAACTTAGTGCACTCCTCATTGAGGTGATTCACCTCTGCCTCAAAGCTCTCAGTGTGAGTCTTCAATGATTTCTCATTTTCTTGGAGCCTAGTGGTCTCCTCACGGAGTTTGTTCACCTCTGCCTCCAGGCCCTCTGCATGCATCTTCAATGATTTCTTGTTTTCCTGGAGCCTAGTGTTCTCCTCACGGAGCTCCACTGCCTCCTTGCAGAGATTCTTCACCTCTGCCTCCAGGCCCTCAGTGCGAGTCTTCAATGATTTCTCATTTTTCTGGAGCCTAGTGTTCTCCTCACGGAGCTCCACTGCCTCCTTGCAGAGGTTCTTCACCTCCGCCTCCAGGCCCTCTGTGCGAGTAGTCAATGATTTCTCGTTTTCCTTGAACTTAGTGCACTCCTCATTGAGGTGATTCACCTCTGCCTCAAAGCTCTCAGTGTGAGTCTTCAATGATTTCTCATTTTCCTGGAGCCTAGTGGTCTCCTCACGGAGTTTGTTCACCTCTGCCTCCAGGCCCTCTGCATGCATCTTCAATGATTTCTTGTTTTCCTGGAGCCTAGTGTTCTCCTCACGGAGCTCCACTGCCTCCTTGCAGAGATTCTTCACCTCCGCCTCCAGGCCCTCTGTGCGAGTCTTCAATGATTTCTCGTTTTTCTGGAGCCTAGTGTTCTCCTCACGGAGCTCCACTGCCTCCTTGCAGAGGTTCGTCACCTCCGCCTCCAGACCCTCTGTGCGAGTAGTCAATGATTTATCGTTTTCCTTGAACTTAGTGCACTCCTCATGGAGGTTATTCACCTCTGTCTCCAAGCTCTCAGTGCGAGTCTTCAATGATTTCTCATTTTCCTGGAGCCTAGTGGTCTCCTCACGGAGTTTGTTCACCTCTGCCTCCAGGCCCTCTGCATGCATCTTCAATGATTTCTTGTTTTCCTGGAGCCTAGTCTTCTCCTGACGGAGCTCCACTGCCTGCTCACAGGGGTTCTTCACCTCCGCCTCCAGGTACTCTGTGCGAGTCTTCAATGATTTCTCATTTTCCTGGAGCCTAGTGGTCTCCTCACGGAGGTCCTTCACCTCTACCTGCAGGCCTTCCGATCTCTCCCCAATCAGCGCGGTCCCCTGGGGCAGCTGGGCCTGCTGTGCGCATTCCTTGGCGAGCTGCTCAGCCTCCTCAAAGCAAGCGTTCTTCTTGTGGAGCCACGCCACCTGGTCCAGCAGATCCCGCACGTCCTCCTCCAGGGCGGCCGCTCGCTTTCTCGCAGCTCCCTCTGCCTCCATCGCCAGGAGGCGAGAGACTTCCTCATCCCGGAATTCCGCCGCTCTCTCTACGCGGAGTTTTTGCAACTCCGCCACCAGGCCCTCCGCGCGTGTCTTCGCCGATTCCTCGCTATCCTGGAGCCCTGCGGTCTCCTTGCGGAGCTCCATGGTTTCCTTGCGAAGGTTCTTTAGCTCCGCCTCCAGCCGCAGTCGGACTTCCTAAGCACAAACAGACCAGGCATAGTTGAGGAGATTTGCAGTTTGTGAGCCCCTATTTATTGGGTCGCTGTCGAGTCAACGACAGTTTGTCCTATGAATATACCGTTAGAGCAATGTGGAATTTCCACCACACGCTCTGCACTTGGAGAGACACGCGCACACACACACAGGAGAAGAGAGAGAAACGCACGCGCACACACACACAGGAGAAGAGAGAGACACGCACACACACACACACAGGAGAAGAGAGAGAGACACGCACGCACACACACACAGGAGAAGAGAGAGAGACACGCACGCACGCACACACAGGAGAAGAGAGAGAGACACGCGCACGCACGCACACACAGGAGAAGAGAGAGAGACACGCGCACGCACAGCACACACAGGAGAAGAGAGAGAGACACGCGCACGCACACACACACAGGAGAAGAGAGAGAGACACACGCACGCACACACACACAGGAGAAGAGAGAGAGACCACACGCACGCACACACACACAGGAGAAGAGAGAGAGACACGCACGCACGCACACACACAGGAGAAGAGAGAGAGACACGCACGCACGCACACACACAGGAGAAGAGAGAGAGACACGCACGCACACACACACAGGAGAAGAGAGAGAGACGCACGCACGCACACACACAGGAGAAGAGAGAGAGACGCACGCACGCACACACACAGGAGAAGAGAGAGAGACGCACGCACGCACACACACAGGAGAAGAGAGAGAGACGCACGCACGCACACACACAGGAGAAGAGAGAGACACGCACGCACACACACACAGCAGAAGAGAGAGAGACACGCACGCACGCACACACACACAGGAGAAGAGAGAGACACGCGCACACACACACACACACAGGAGAAGAAAGAGACACACGCATGCACACACACACAGGAGAAGAGAGAGACACACGCACGCACACACACAGGAGAAAAGAGAGACACGCACGCACACACACACAGGAGAAGAGAGAGAGACACGCACGCACACACACACAGGAGAAGAGAGAGACACCACGCACACACACACAGGAAGAGAGAGAGAGACACGCACGCACACACACACAGGAGAAGAGAGAGAGACACGCACGCACACACACAGGAGAAGAGAGAGACACGCACGCACACACACACAGGAGAAGAGAGAGAGACACGCACGCACACACACCAGGAGAAGAGAGAGAGACACGCACACACACACACAGAGAGAGAGAGACACGCACGCACACACACACAGGAGAAGAGAGAGACACGCACGCACACACACACAGGAGAAGAGAGAGACACACGCACGCACACACACACAGGAGAAGAGAGAGACACACGCACACACCACAGGAAAGAGAGAGACACGCACGCACACACACAGGAGAAGAGAGAGACACACACACACAGGAGAAGAGAGAGACACACGCACGCACACACACACAGGAGAAGAGAGACACACGCACGCACACACACACAGGAGAAGAAGAGAGACACGCACGCACACACAC